CTTCTAGCTCAACTCTAAGTACTATTTGACTTTCCTCTTCAAGCAATTACCCAAATATTCTCTTAACAACAAGTCTCGCTGGACTTAATAACCAAGTATTCTTTTACGGTCAAGCCTTTTCAGACTTAAAACAAGTACTCTTTTTTAGACAAGCCTCTCTAGGCTCAATGTTATCTCGTTTGGCAAGTGTACCAAATCGTATAAGTAGTTCAATGAAAGTATGAGTATCGTCTCCCAAGGGACTTGCGCAACACTTTGCAATTTCACTTGTTATACTAATTAAGCTACCGAAAAGCAATAAGAGTTTGATTTGCTACAGTAAATAATGTAGACAAGCAATAACAATTCTTTTTGGTATTTTGGTAAACACTTAGAGTGCAAAACTTGATTCTAATGCAATATTAATAAATTGTTGGGGTTTGACTTCACTAAACCTTCCTCTCATGCTTATCACTAAGTTCACAATAGTTATTATTCAGAATTTATCAATCACTCTCAAAAGTAACCAACCCTAATCTCTTACAAGTTGGCATCTAAGTTACTAGCTTAAACTATCAATCTCTTGCATAGTTTAACCTAGAAACCAGCTTTAAAAACAAGAGCTTAAGAAAGACCAATGGCATTTACTCTATCTCTAGCAATAAGCACCATTAGCTGCTCTATTTCAAGTCAAAGGTTTAAAATCATTTCTCAATCTCTTAAAAACCTTAAGTTCAAGTTAAGGGTGATCAAGCCATAACAAGCATTATGCACAGAAAAAGAGCAATAAAACTGAATAACAACTTAGATTGATAGCTTAGAGTTTACACATGAGAATGGGTTTAGTTACATCAAACCCCAACAAGGGTGAGTTTAGCTACACATAGACATGTAGAACTCTACAAATGATGAAGAAAGGAAGAAGCTTGATCTTGAAGGTTCCAGAGCTCTCCAGCCGCCACACAAACTCCAAGAATGATCCTCCTTGCTTCTCTCCTCGAAAATCCCCCTTTTTGGTCATAAAAGCTTTTGTCTTATGTGAATAATGACATGTCAGCACAATCCACGCTAAGCCTCAGTTCCACGCTCAGCGTGGGAATCAAAATTCTGTTCCAGGGATTCTCTGCCATGCTGAGGCTAAGCGTGGATCTGGGGCTTAGCCTGGGAACTTAACCAAAAATTCCTTCAACTTCAAATTCACCACTTTGTGCTTGACTTCCTTCCTTCTTTCCTAGCTTTCTCCTAAACTACAAAACAACAACCAAATACTTGTAAGTTACCTAAAAACATGATTCAAAAACAAAATGTGATCACCTAACAATTTAGATATGTTTTGAGTTAAAAACAAAGTCTAAAGCAAGGAAAATTGATATAAGTGCTTCAAACTAGGCCATAAACTTAATGAAATCATAGCACTTATCACTCAACTTTATAACAATGGTTATGAAGGTTACATAAGTATTGTATTCATCTGACTTAGACATTATACAACCAATACAGAGTCATGAGTGTTTACAAGAAGGAATAGATTTATAAAGAGTATGTTTCTGTACAAAATATAAATGTGTGTCACTTATGTAAAATTGTATCTCTATCTTTCTTGAGCTTTGAATATTCTTATATAATGACTTAGAGAAAATGATTGTTGCAACACTTTGAGTTAGTGTTGAGTCTAACACACAAGTTTGTTTCGTTTGTTTTCATCGTCTTTTCTTGTGATGACAGGTAATTGTTTGGCTCATTTAATGCGAGTATTAATTGTATTTCACCAAATGGTATCTTTTATCTGATCAAGGAGGTTACTTCTCATCTTTTCACACCAAATGAAGCTTGTGTAGGTAATGTTAGCACAATGTAGTAGTAACAGTGACTTTATTTGCTTTTCTTTGTGATTTTGGGGATCTTTACCCTTGATCCTGTCAAAAAATATGATCTTGTTCTCTTTAACATATTTGTGAGTTCCAAGATGATCTTCTAATTCATCTGTTATGGAATGAAGCATTCAAAAGCATTTTTTGTTAGTCTCAATAAATAATAAGCATTTAATATATATGAGACAAACTATAAGTTTCGTCTGATTTACAACGTTTTATAGAAGATATGCATCTCACACTTTATCTGATAAGTATTTTTGAAAGGCGTTTTTTAAGACATTCTCTTTGTAAAAACATTTTATTTGTTAGCATTAAAATTTTAAGTTCAAGGGATCCATGATTGTCTTTTGACTTAACAATGGTATATAAGGTTTTTCTTAAGACGTAAACCGTATAAGTTCATATTTTAAGAAAAGTTAGAGAGGAGATTTATGGAGCTCAAGAAATCTTTTCATTCCCTCGTTACCTCGATTCCTCCAAAACTCTTCCTACAATTGATCGAAATAGGTAGATTGGTGATTTAAAGCTTGTAGAGTCGAGAATACCAAGTTGGAATCGTGAGAAGATTTCTTCTTTCTTCCTCTTCTCTTATCTTTTAAGTGATTAGAGGTAAGGGAAGCTTTGTGTTTGATCATTGTTGGAATGTGATGATTTTTTATTGTTGATACTCACCAAATGTTGGTTGTCTTGAATAAAATTCCATGAAAGTGTGGTTAGCTTGGGTTTTGGGTCTTGGAGATGGTTATAAATGAATTGATGGTTCTTGTAAATCTTTGGTTGCATGTTGCTTTTAGAGTTGATTTCGAGTTCTATATGCTGGATATGTGTTGAGTTACCTGTTGCATGTTGGTATTTGTTGAATTTTAGGTGAAATGAGCCAAAATGATTTTTGGCCAAGTGCAAAACTTGTCATCACATTAGGTGCACCTTCATGGCGTTAGGTGTGGCTCAATTTAAGGATTCTTAACTTTGATGACGTTGGGTGTAGGATTGGTGGCGTCGAATGGGAGGAGAGAGAATTTTCTCTTTGACTTGGTCACATCAAGCGTGGATTTGAATGGCATCGAACATGAGGAGAGAATCATCTTTGCCGAAGTTGGCATTGACATCAATGGAGTGACGTCGAGTATGAGTTAGGTGGAGACTCTCTACCTAATTGATACTGGGCATGGAGTTTTACGACGCCAAATGTGAGAGACTTAGAGACTCTCTACATCACCCACGTCAAATGCAAGTTGAATGATGTCGAGCCTAGGTGGCACAGAATGACCATTGTCTCAATAGTGTCGTCGGGCACGTTGGAAATAATGTTAGGCGTGATTTGTATGATAAAATATGATGTTTTAAGTTGATTAATAAATGAAGAATGATGATTAAATTATATGATGAATGTTGTATGATTATAACTCATTATGAATTCAACTGATATAATGTATAGTATGTTTATGCAGCTAAGATGTAAGCTAATAGATGATTAAATTGCAAAATTATATGATGTTATAGTTGATTAAGTTGTTAAGTTGTCAAGAATATGGTGAAGATGCATGTCTTAGTTGAGATAAATAAAGACAAAAGGAGAGTTATGTTGTTTAAATTGTTCCCTCTAGGACTTATCTGGAACAATATGGAGGTGTGGTCGATCTATATTGCAGTTGAAATGACCATCTGAGTAAGGTACAAAGTCGTAGGCTTAGTCCCTAACTGAGTATTGAAAGAGAATAGTATTTGGGTCAATTATATTAATCAATATTCTATATTTTTTAATTATTTTATTCCTAAATTAACTTGAGTTAATGATAAATACTAAAAAAATGTAAATAATTTTAAAATGATAAAAATATTAAAAAAAATTACGGTACCCATTATAATTGAAGGTACCAAAACAGTCTAATATATTTTTATTGTAATTACTTATTTTTATTTTTATCTTAATTTAGTATTTTTAATAATTTATCTTTATAAAAAAATTTATATCTTTATATTATTTATATATTTTTTTTAATATTTTATCTTAATGTAGTATCTATTATAAATTAAATAGTTTAATTTTAATATTTTGTTAATACGTTTTAGTTGTTTTTTGGTGTTAATTTTTAAATTTATAATATAAATTAGTTTTTAGTTGTATTATTTATTATTTCTCTTATATTTTAATATTTTTATAGTATTATTACAACATTTTACTTTTAATTTTTGTAATTTTATTATATATAAATAAAATTTGTTATGAAAATTGACCTTTTTATTATTTTTTTTGAATTAATCTTTTGATCAATTTATTTTATACTAGTTTTTAGTCTGAAATTTATGTTATTTATAATTTAATTTTTAAATTTATTTATTCACCTAATTTTAGGTAGCAAGACCCTTAGATTTTTATGGGTATGGTAGCAGTACCCTAAAAATATTTAGAAAAGACTAAAACAAGACTGAACAATATTTGTAGGAATGAAAATATATTTAAATTTATTTTTATTTTTTAAATGGAAGGCCATATTCCTCCCTCCTCTGCCCCTACCAAGATTATTGGTGTAGGTTGGCAAAGTTATTGGTGGGTCGATACTTATAGTTTTCAGTTTTAGGTGAGGTTTTAGGCACTCTTGTCCATATATCCTTGTTCTTGCTATCTAAGATCTAACCATTAACATATGCTTCATCGGGTGATTAGTTCTTTCTTTTTTCTTGTAATTCTTAATCCTTTTGTTTTGGTTGTGTTATGTATTATCATCAACACCATTTGTTTGTTTCTGTTTCTTGTGAAAGAAACATAGAAAATGGCAGTGCTACTTTATAAGTTTATTATTATATGTCTATTTTCATGGTTGTAATTCCACTTTTAGCAACCGACCTCTCCTTGTCTTGATTCTGTAAAAGTTACAATCATACATTGGATCTGACATTTTTTAGACTTTTTCTTGAAAGGCGACATTTTTTTTAGAGATTAGTCGATGTTTGGAAGATTATAAATTGACAATTTTTTAATATGTTATGGTTCTTTTTAGATGAACTAATTTTATTTTTGTTTACAACAATAAGACCTAATTCGTTAAGATTAAAAATTTGATTAATTTAATTAATAACAATAAATTTTCTTAATTTATAATTTTTTTAAAAAACTATCTATAATATTAATGAGAGTCTGACACAATGGCAGAGTATGCTGCAAAATTTGATGCTTTGGTTCGCTATTGTACTCACTACCATGGTGAATGTGGTGAAAGGGCTAAGTGCATTAAGTTCGTGAATGGCCTTCGTCCTGAGGTAAAGACAACAATCAATTATCAAGATATTTATCACTACCCGACGCTTGTCAACAAGTGTAGAATCTATGATCGTGACAACCGTGCACGTGCCGCTTTCTACAAGGGGGTTGGAGGTCCTATGCGTGCTGGAAATTCTGGTGCTTTGGGTAGAAGTAAACCTTACTCCACTTCTACTAAGTTCCAAGGGAGTCGATCTGTTGCTAGTGGGAGTAAGCCTTATGTTGGGGGGTCTGTTGCGAGTGGCACAAGGAGTGTTGGAGGCTCCGTTTCTACTCCCGCGGATCGATGCAAGAAGTGTGGACGGCGAGGCCACATTAGTTATGAATGTCCTGACAAGGATGTTACGTGCTTCAATTGTAATGGAAAGGGTCATATCAGCTCCCAGTGTCAACAGTCGCTGAGACCACGTATTACAGAATTGAGTTCTCAAGTTGGGCGTCCGAAGGCTACTGGGAGAGTATTTGCTCTTAGCGGTGCTGAAGCTGCTCGGTCAGAAAATTTGATACAAGGTACTTGTTTCATAGCTGAGATTCCTTTTGTTGTACTGTTTGATTCTGGTGCAACTTATTCCTTTATTTCTGTCTCTTGTGTCCAAAAGTTGAATCTTCCTGTTTGCTTAGTGTATGTGTTCTATATGTGTGTATCTCTATCGATGTCCTTGTGTTTATGCTTATGTGTGCATTTCTTGCCAATCAGCAGTGTTGTTTTAGATGTCCATGAATTATCTTTACTCAATTTATATGTTATAATTGTCTCTTAATTCAGGGAGAGAATATTTTTTATTCATCAACATAAAAAAAGATGGTATTTTGTTTATATTTTTGTTCATTCAAGAGCATACAAACTTGTCAAATAAGAATTAGGTATATAAACTCTATATTCCTAATAAAATTTGTTGGCAATTGGGTTTTTGATCGGTATTAGACTTCTCAATTTGAAGAGATTATTGCAGCCAAAAGATATCATTTGGCACATAAGTTTCAGTGGTTCCTGGTTTCCTTGAACAGCCTTGTGGTGAGTTAATTTTTTCTTGATTGCACCTGTGAAATGGCTATCAACATGGAGGAGTTGATATTGCTCTCACAAATATTTTTCTAACATCACTCTCAGTTATGGTGGCTGAGACTACAACTTCCCCATAGACTTGATCAAGACCAAGCTTTGTGTAAGTTCCCTTTTATTCCTTCCTTTTCTTTTTATGCCTAATTGGCTCACATACATTACATTTTTCCCTCATCCAAAAAGAGATTTTATGTATTGGAATTTTTCTTGTTGTTTTGATGTTCTTTTTGTGAGGTGCAACAACTAGTGAATATGGATATTATGGTTCCTCACGTCGGTGACATTGTACTAGTGAAAGGTAGAAATTAAAGTGATGTTATGAACTGCATTTGCTTCTTTGCATTTCATGTCAATTTCTTGTATGATTTCTTTTTTATTCTTGTTTCATTTTTTTTAATTCTTTTTTGTCTTTGTTTTGCACTAGGTTTTTCTTTTTGTTTTGATGTTCTTTTAATGTGGTGCAACAACCGATGGAAATGGATATTACGATTCCTCACTTTGGTGACGTTGTGTTTATGGAAGGTACAAATTAAAGTAAGTCCTTTAAAATCCTAATCCAATACACCCCCCTTACTCTACTAATTATTTATTTGTCTAATGATAAGATATTGGATTGGTATACAACATTATAGATTTAAATTATGTTATCGTCATTGTAATTTTTAAAGATAGAAAATTATTTAATTTAGAAAAATGACATTAATTACTTAGCTTATTTCTTATTAAAAATTTAATGTCAAACATTTTAAATTGATATATATAAACAACAGACAGGGACAATGCCATTAACGAATTTTGAAGTCAATTAATCATTATTCATTAACGTTGATAAATATTAGTGTTAGTGAATAGCATAGTTTAATTTTGTGGTTATTTTTTTATTTTGTTTTGGGTATGGACTACAATATGCATTTTTTATTGAAGACAATATTGTCCTACTCAATAGGATTACTATAGACGGTTCTCCTACATATTTTATATAATTGCACACTTAAAATTTATAAACTCAAAATTACTAATTAAATTAAAATAACTTTGTATAAGTTGATTTAGACTTAACACCTTTTTTTGTGTGTTTAACTGACCAATTGTAAAACAAATTAATCAATCTCTACGAATTGTTGGAAGAATAGTACACTTACATTTTTATCTAATTTTTTGCTAAAAAGAGGATGGAAAGAGAACATGTTAGAAAGGATCCAAACTAGGATTCGCCCTCTCCGTTTTTCAACTAGCCGCATTATTTTAAAATGTTAGTTTGCACACATTTTTCTGATAGAAGACCTTTAAGGAAAGTAATAATAACAATATAAAGGTCAGTGATGTAATGTGCAAGCATCACAAAGACTTGGCATTTTTCTCCATTTTGTAGACACATTGGTCAAGCGAAATCTGTGTATAATGTCTGTGACATTTCTCTTTGTTTAGAATTGCGAGAGAAAGTGGAGGTGCGAAAGGAATCCTACTTTATTGATTCTTATTAAGTGGGAAAGACGAAATATGCTGTGTGGTTGGTGCATGAAAGACATTCAAAGTCAGCATAAGAGTATAGCCCAAAAATCAAAATCAACAACCCCAACCCAATCAAAGGAATTTGTGGCTTCCAATGTCCAACACACACCTTACATTTACACACAATGTGGAAGCAAGTGGAAGAAAACAGTGTAGAAAAACAAAATTGTAAAGTGGGAAACTAGCATTTATTTTCAAATGGTTTGGTAATATTTTGCATCCTTTTCACTTAAACCTATCTCAACAACATCAAACTACAGCTGTGATGTGCTGACTCAAGAATGCTCCACATGCCAAATGTTTTTAATTTAGCAAAATCTTAACATGTAATTGGTTTTTTGGTCTTTATTTAGCATAACTGCATACGTTGACATTGTGAGAGTTACTTCTAGACTTGTGCAATGTCATGAGTTTCTTTTTTTATCTAAAAAAACTGGTAATAAATTTTACAAGTTTAGCAAGGGGGAAGATGATGTGATAGAGCAGTGATTAATTAAAAAGAAACCCAATTTTTCAGTATAAGTAGGTGGAAGGGAGAGAGAGAGAGAGAGAGAGAGAGAGAGAGAGAGAGAGAAAGTGATATGATGTAAAAGAAAGAGAGGAATAAAAAGAAAATGAGATAAAAATTGATGTAAAAAAAAGTGTGTGGATGAATATAATTATCGGATAATTTAGCTTATATAAGCAACAATTGCTTATCATAATAAGCAATTTTTGGTGGTTCTATCAGCATAAATATAGGACTCACAGAATATATGAAGAACTCCCATAAGAACATAAGCATTGGAGTAAAATTTTGTTGAAGTTCTTAAATATTACGTGGCTCCGTAGGATCTACAAAAATTGGTTTAAAATCTTTTAAGCACTCCAGCACTGGAGTTGCTCTAAGATACCATAATATATAAAGCCATGCTAAAGACTGACCAATCTGCAGGGTTCTTGACATAAACTATGCAACAAAACAGACTAAACTGATAATCCCTATGGTAAGTCAAATTTACAAGCTTTAGAGCCAACTAGTAAACACTGCACAGCTTCATTGCATTGAGGCACACCTTCTTACATGCCCTTGTTCATTTTCTAGACACATTTCCTACAGCAGAATTCAAGCCACTTACACTTTTTTCCTTTTCAAGGTCCTCAGTCCTAAGTTTGTTCTTTTTTGTGTCTGAACCAGTTTTCATTCTTTTGGTTTTAGGCTTCCTTGCAGAGTCATCAATGGATTCATCAGCCAAAGCATATCTGTTAACAGCAGAAGTATCCACAGATTTGGCAGCAGATTCTGCAGATTCAGATTTGAAGTTGCGGGCAGAAGCTCTTCCCCTACAGATCCATTAAAAAAATTCCAATGAGGATCCAAAGAAAACACTTAGTATACCTTAATATATCTTGCCTAGCATACAGACTAACCTGGACTGAGAATTGATATTTGCACCCTTGGCCGACTCCAATTTGGATTTTTCTGTGCCTTTTTCTGATCTGTACATTATGAATAACTTGACAGTATAAGCTTAATATATCAAATAAGGATTAAAAGCAAAAAAAATATAAAAATGCATAGAACTTAATTGAGGACACCGACTTAAAAATCATATAAAATAAAAGGCCTGTTATTCCTATGAAATCCAATATAAATTTGTCTGATATGCTATAGATATGATATAGTTCAAGAGATTTAAAATACGATCAGAAAAAAATGACTTATAGTTCGATGTCCTTTCAATTGAAACTGGACTTGCAAAAGAATAACTGACAGAAGCCTTCACTTTGATTTAAAAAAGTTTTCCTTGGGGGGATTGGATACCAGTAGAATATAAAATTAAAAAAAGTAATGAGAACAGTCCTCCATTAACGAAATTTCAAAGCATCTAAAATATGTAGAATAGAGGTACTTACATAAAAGAGTCATACTGAGTAGACCCACAGGTGAAGAGATTACACTAAAACTAACTACAGTTATTTGGGCCAATAAAAAGCGCACCAATGATTAATGAACTTATTGTGTAGGACTAATGGCATATAGAAGTATTTATTGTTCGATGAAGGTATAAATATTTGGACAAAACAAGAGAGATACTTTACTCCTATGAGATCTTTTACGGTATTTTTGGAAGTTTGATTTTGGAGGGAAGAAAACTTTTTGTTTCTAAATTAAGAGAGTTATGTAATGTTTATAAAAATAAACAAAAGACTATTATGCTAATCTGTTGTCATTTCTTCCATTTTTAAAAAAAATTCATCCTATCTTTCCCTTCTCCTCCAAAACTCAACTCCCAACTAGTGTTTACATGATTACATCGAGTTGTCTCTAGAATGAAGGGTTCACATCACATGGAGCACCTGAATAAAGAGCTACTCCTTGATAGATCAAATGACTAATCATTTATATATAATTGATGAATGTCCAAGCTAGTATTTGCATCATCGTGAGGACGGTTCTCATGTATGGAATCACATTAATAGAAGTTATCTCTTAGTTCTTAGAGAGGAAAAAAATAGTTTAATACCAGTAATGTTAGGCATTAATGTCCAGCAGACCAGATTATACTTACATGTTTGATGCTTCTGCAACCTTCTGAAGTGGAAGTCCTTCCTGATACCAGAATATCAGCGTGCATGAATTAAATTTATAATATTACATCATACTACACAGTACACACACTCACGTACATACAATAATAAAAAAAAGCGTCAAAGCTTTATACTCACCTCATCTGATTAAGCAGCAACAGAAACACACACATATGACAGATGTACATACAATAACTAAATAAGCATCAAAACTTTATACTATTAAACATCAACTACACACAAACACATTTGTACAGTTATTAAATATGCATGAAAGCTTTATGCTCACCTCATTTAATGAATCATCAACAGAAACTAGTTGCCAGCGCTGTTTTCTGAGGTTCAACACTTCAATATCACCATCAGTATACAAAATCTATTGAAAAGCAATCCAAAATATTAACAAATATTATTATGAAGCTTATTCAAGGTTTATTTCTTGTACAAATCTTTCAACAACAAAAAAGTGAAAACAAGGTAACATTTTGTAATCAATAGAGAAAACAAGTAATGAGAACAGAAGATCGAAAATAAGAAGGTTTTGAAAGGATCAGAATATCTTCAATCAGCATGTTACGTGGTTTTGATTTAAAGAATAGCATACAGAATGCATTCCAAATAAGTGGCAATATTATCCTACATATGCAAAGATGCACGAACAAACCCTAGAGTCAAAGCAACTAAAAGAAAAAAGAAAAAAAGATCAGCAACAGCCATCTCACCTTGTGCTTTCCTTTGATAGGATTAAAAGAATTGATAACGCCTTCGTAAAACCTGAAGTAAAGATTTATGCACAAATTAATGGATCAAATAAAGCAAGCAACAACAACGTGCACACACTGAAACTGAAATTATAAAACAAGATAAAAATTTAGTAGGTATAAGGAAGGTATTAAATAACTTACCAATATCTTTAAAGGAAAAAACTTCCACAACATAGCATTTAGCTTTAAAGCTAAAGTTAAAAAAACAACCTGATTTGAATTCTCCATCTAAACCACAAAGCATGTTTCTTAATTCAAATGTTATAACACAATCTTATAAGTGCCTCCACTCTATTTTCAGAAGCACATGCAATTATCTTATAAGCCTACTGAATGAGCTTTCAAGACATGGATAGTGGTTTTGAAATCTGAAAATTCAAGGGAACTTATCGATAATAAACCTTAAAATTATTTTTTGAACAATCCCACCAAAACATAAAAAGTATTGCACATGAGAACTCTATTAAGTATTGACAGAGGAAGTCCACATTATAAAAAAAATGGCTCATGGTAAACCTTCGTCCTCCTTTGATATATGTGTATGATTCCAAACCCAACTATGATTTATAACGTAGTTTCCTCTAAATATAAGTATTGTCCTAAACTCATAGTTCATAAGCATGAAATGTTAGGGCCAAGATAGTTTAGCAAAAATCTTCCACAAAAGGTTTAAAAAGGGAGAAAAACCCAATTCAAACCCCCC